CATCTATTACATTATTTTACCATTAGAATTGTTGCCAATTGCTGTTGTAAGAATTGTCACCTTGACGAGGAGATGATGAGGTGGGTGAGCTGTTCGTTGTGAATCAAGAAAATGAAAACTGATCATTGAGTGGATAGCAGTTCTACAAGAAGATGCCACTGCTGTCAAATTCTGAGCTGCACTTCACTGCGATTTAATGAAAACCTAGGTAAGAATTATATTTGCCAAGCATTGTGATCATTCTGGAGATGGGAATTTAAAGATCTTTTTGTAAAGTTTTTTTTTGCCTTGACTTTTTTTTTTTAATTTTAGAAAAATGGTTTTGGATGGAAATACAACCCAAAATGACCATTAGAAAAGCAGTGGTGAGCCAGAGTCCTCCTATCCATCCCAAGGGTTGGCTACCCTTCTTCTCTGTCCTAATGAGGCTGCTTCTTTTCCCACATTTTCAAAGCCAGGAAGCTCAGAGAGGCCTGATCCTGAGGAGCCATACTACTAATGAACCACAGTACCCTCACTAAAGGGTCTCAAAACTGCTTCACTGGGTGAAAGTTTTCTCTACAAAAAGTCCTTGCCCAACATTTCTTCCTTGTCCATTCCCAACAACTTCTGGGTTTTCCTCGCAGCACTGCGCTGCTACCCATTCTCTTTTACTGTGACATTTCAAACTGGATCTCCCAGACACGTTTCAAATTTAATATGTTCAAAACTCAACTTTAAAGTTATTAGCAACTAGGTGATTTGGCAGATAAAGTACTGGACCCAGCATCACAAGACCTGGGTTAGAATCCCACTTCTGACACGTACTAGCTATCTGATCCTACATGAGTCACTTAAATTTGGATAGAACACCAGCCCTGACCTGAGTTCAAATCCGGCCTCAGACCAAACACTTGACACTTATTAGCTTTGTGACCCTGGGCAAGTCACTTAACCCCAATTGCCTAAAAAATATTAAAAATTTTTTAAAAGAAGGCACTATGATCAGACTCCAGCAGGTGAAGCATTCCTTATTAAATAAATTAACAACTCCTTCTGTAACTCTAAAAGTCCTTTGCAATCTTGCTCCAGTCCACCTCGTCTAGCCTCATTCTTCCCTTACTCTTCCCTTTTATGTGTCCTCTGTTCTGGCCAAATTAAGCTGTTGTTCTTATTCCCAATCCTAGTCTGTCTGTATGACTTTTTTCACCCTTTCTTTCATGCCTGGAGTGGAGTCTCAATCTCACCCCAGAACTCCTTCTCTCCATGTCCAACTCTTATACCACCTTCCCTATGATATCTTCCTTGTCTTAATTCCTGATGCCATCCTCTACCCCAAGTGAAAGCAGTTTCTTAAATATCAGAGCTCTTTGCCAGAGCCAATTCTTCCTTCCTTAAATCCCAGTTATTTGTGTAAGTGTCCTTTCCCTCCTCCCCCCTTAGATTATAAGCTCCTTGAGAGCAGGACCTTTGTCATATCTATCCCTATATCCTCTGAACCTAGACTAGCATCTTGCATATAGTGGGAACTTACTATAATAAATGATCATTGAGTTTAATTTCTCCTACTAAAGAAGGTCTATACTCTTTGCTTTGCCTTCTTGCTGGCTAGGCACCCTACACACTTTGGCAACTACTTTTCCATTTCACAAACTCATCTAGAGTTTGATTTCACTTCATGTGTTTTCCATATTAATTTAATTCATGATTATAATTTAGTTAGGTGCCTGAAAAAAATGGACTATTTACAACACCAGATGATTCATCAATTTCCAAACCTGCCCCATACTTTCCTACTTAACAACTGGGACTTGGAATGATGATCTCCTTGCCTATATCCACCTGTGGAAATCATATTTGGGGTTCAAGGCCCAGCTCAAATGCTACCTCTTCTATGAAGGTTTCACTTTTCCTAGCTAGAAGTGATCTTTCTCTCTTAAATCCTATAGTACTTATCTGTACCTCTTTTATGTATTTACCATATTCTGCCTTACATAGTTGTGATTGGTGGACTAGACCACAAACTCCTTGAGAACAGGGACCATATTTTAAATCAGAGGATCTTAACTTGGGGAGGTATGTACATTTATTTGTTATTGTTTATTATTATTTATTTTAATATTTATTATTAATACTTATAAATACATTTCAATATAATTAGTTTCTTTCTGTACACGTTACACATTTGGAAACATTTTGATAAGAAGTCCATAGGCTTCTACCAGAATTCCAAAGGGATTAATGACCTGAAAAATAGTCAAGGAGCTCTGCCTTAAATATTTGTATATCCCTCAGTGACTAGAACAGTAAGTCTTGCACACTAGAGGTACTTAATAAGTATATGTTGAACAAACAAATGAATTAACTAAATATTGAAAGCACCTACAAGTTTTTTCATGAACAGAATACAAAATAGGCTTAGGAATGAACCAGCTTCCAGAGGGGATTCAGGCTTCAGACTCACTGTTCAGGAAAAGCACCCAAGTCCTAGACCTTCAAAATACTGCTTGATCAACAAGGAACCCAGTGCTGGGTTCATCTAATCTCAATTCTAAGGTTGGGGTTTTTCTACTGTCCTCAAGGCCCTACTCCACACACATCTCATTCACTCTCAGCATATGATCTGTGTGGGATTTTTTAAATTGTACTGATGAAATTGAATGTGTTTGATAGGAATGCTCTTTCTCCCAGGCCACCCCGAGCACTGAGGAGTCTCAAGGTACTCTTCTCTCATAGTCTGCCAATGACCTTTTCCCCTTCTCTTTACTTGGTTGGACACTGATCCTCTCCTGCCACCCTGCCAATCTCTTGCCCTATGAAAAAGGATCTAGATCTCCAAACCAGACCCCCAGACTCATCCCTTCCTTTTCCAATGGCAGTTGGCTGGGGTCCTCCAGGCTCCCTTACTCTGTTGAGCAGACATGGCTGCTTACACTGCTTGAATAGTAGGGAGTCACCAACTATCTTTGTTTGATAAGACGGAGGATCCATCAGGTTTTACCATCTCTACTGATACTCTGCCCTCTAGACCACCACCACACATTGCCATCTGAGTTACTGATGCACCCTTAGGACATCTAGGCCTTTCCATCCCCACCTCCTATGTGCTGTCAACCCCAATTAGAATTTAAGCACCTTGAGAATAAGAACTTTCTTACTTTTCTATTCATATCCCCAGTTTTGTTCTCTGCACATAGTAACCCCCCAGGAAATGCTTTTTCATTCATTCATTCATGCACGCATTCATTCATTTGTTCACTCATTCATACATGCATTCAAAGAATCTTAGCGTTGGCCTCAAAAGTCAGTTAGTCCAACTCATACCTGAATGTGAACTGCTCCCACAACATGTCCAGCAAACAACCACATAGTCTCTCTCTGAAGACCTCAAATAATGGGGAATGTCCCCACCTAAGTTTTCTCTTCTCTAGGCTAAGTGTTTTCAACTTTTTAAACAAACTCAAATGACACAGATCCCAGGCTTCTCACCATCTTGTCTGCCCTTCTCCAGAAACCCCCAGTTTGTCAATGACCTTCATAAAATATAGTGCCTAAAAGCACATGAAACACTGCACATGTAGTCTTTCTGGGCAGAGGAGAGGGTAACTATCAACTCCCTCATTATGGACTCAATGCCTTTTTTTGTTTGAATTGCTTTGTTTTGTTTGTTTTGGGGGGCAATCCTGTGTGTGGCACACAACAGGTGCTTAACAAATGTTTGTTGAATGATTGATTTCATTGGTATAGGGAATATCCTGAAGAAGAAATTTCATCTCTCAGTACAGATTGGCATCTGCTCTGAAACTTATAGTCTTAATTGTCTAGGGCACTGAGAGGTTAAGTGATCAGCCCAGGGTCAGACAGCAGGTAGATGTCTGAAATAGGGTTTGAACGGGGGTCTTTCTAACTATAAGGCCTACTCTATATTCATCAAGCCAGATGTGTCAAACTCAAAAAGAAATGGATTCATTTAGGCCACAGATTGACTTGGAAAGCCACAAATTAACATTATCTATGTTTTATTGTATTTGTATTCATTTTGTTAAATATTTTCCAATTATATTTCAGTCTGATTCAGCCATACTTGGGAGGCTCCATGCATGTGGCTTTCAGGGTACTTGTTTGACACCTCTGCACTATAATATGCTGCCTTCAGTTAATGCAAAATCAGAGGAATTTTTTTTAAGCAAATTGATATTAATATTGAAATCCAGCTAACCTCTCGGATATTTTTCTCATGAGCCATTGTCTAATTATCCATCAAGACACCAAACTTTACATTTATCTTCCATTATCTCCATTACATCTTGTGAAATTTGGTTCACTGTTCTTTTGGAGGCAGCTGGTAGGACAGTTGATAGAGCACTGGGCCTAGAGTCAGGAAGACCTAAATTCAAACGTAGACTCAGACACTTACTGGCTGTGTGACTCTGGGCAGGTGGTTTAACCTCTACCACAGCATGTTGTTTTAACCTATGGAGAGGCAATGAATCATTGTGAAGAAGCCCTGAATTTGGAGGCAGAAGACCTGAGTTTGGATTCTGGTTCTATCACTGAACTGTGACCTAAAGCAAATCACGTAATATCCTTGATCTTTGGTTTCTTCACCTGTAAAATGGAAGGGCTTCATTGGATGTCCCCTAAGGTCCTTTCCAGCTTGAGATCTGTGTTCCTTTAATATTATAATTATAAATCATAGTATAAAATTGTGATATACAATTACATGATGTAATACATAACTATAATATATAATATAGCATAATATATAATTATGTTGTAAGTATGATATAAAAATATATAATAATATATCACTACTTTTCCTGGGATAGATAGTTCTGTGTTGTTAGTTTTTTGTTTATTTTTCCTTTCCGGTTGCAGTCTGAACACTTTCCTGCTACATCATATGCCTGTCTTACTATGCATATTCCGCCTAGATTGATCTGTTCCATCTCATTAGACTTCCCCAATCATTCCCCCTCCCATCTGCCCAAAATAAGGGGTCACAAAAAACATGCTCTTACCTCTTCTTCTTCTAGTAGAATGAGCCGGACCACTACAATATGAATGGCATTGCCGATGCTCGGATTATGGAATAATCCAGTGACCTACAATCAAGAGGAAAGAAATTAATTGTAGCTCAAGTTCAACAAATAAATTTAGAAAGGAAAATATACAAGCCAATTCTGATGACATTCACCTTAGAGCCTTTTTCACATCGTCAGAAGGTGTGTCATGAGAAAGAGTGAGACACAAGAATGGCATATTCTACCCTGTGGACAAATTATGTATCTGAAGCCCAACCTTTACTTGGTGAAGGAGGGCAGGCTCAGAAACAGCTGCCTTTTTTGTTCTAGACCTTCTTCCTTAAACAATATATTCCCCCTTTCACTGTTGGGCACTTGAAAGGTTGAGCCCTGGCTGATTTAATGTTCTATTTTATTTTAACATACTGGCTTTGTGAGAGATATGCCTGCCATCCATACCTGCCAGCCTCCCAGATGATGTGAATGCAGGTCTTAAGATAGGTTTTTATTCCTTCATTAACTAGTGTATTTATAAATAAGCAGTGTTATTCTCAACAAAACTTTTTGGATGAAAACAGGGGTTCCCTAGGAACTAAATGGCAAAAAAGTTTGGTTCTTTTATAATTTTCTATATTCTATCATCTGCATGACTTTGCATAGGATCTTGAGCATAACAGAGTTTTGGTTTTTTTAATGGCAGACTCTTAATAAGATCATATATTTAGAACTGGAAGGGACAATTTGGTCATAACTTTGCAAATGAGGAAACCAAGATTCAAGCCAGAAGCAGGGCAGGTTGGGGACCATCAAGACTTAGAAACCAGAAAGTTGGAGGGTGAGATGTTTAGGGAGCTGGGAGGGTGGGAATGATGCCAGCAGCAAGCAGGAAGTCCAGCCGAGACGTCAGTCAGCATTGCGGAGGTACAGCAGCAAGTCATAGGGTCAAATTATCATAGATTTGGAACTGGAAATGACCTTAGATATCATCTAAGGCCAACATTCCTCAATTTAAAAATGAATGAAAAATATTGAAACCTACAGAGCATAAGGAACTATTCAGGGTAACAATAAGTAAGCATTTGAGGTAGGATTGTAACCCAGATCCTTTGATTCCAAATTGAATATTCTTTCTACTGACCTTATTGCCTTCCACCCACTGTACCACAAGTAGAAGTCCTGGAAGGCAGATGGTCTAGGAGCATATAGCAGAGACTCAGCCATATGGACAAAGTTTCAGAGAGAGGGCTCCAGTCCCCAGGATGAATGAAGGCAGAAGGATTTTAGTCCCGAAGGATGTAAAGTTTCAAGCAAGGCACCAAGGAAGGGCCTCAGAGACAAGACAAGCAATCAAAAGGAGGGCCTCAGTCATTTTGAACAAAGCAAGAATAACCTGGGTCCTAGAAATAAATCTCAATGTCAGAATAGGATCAGAAACAAGGCCAGTGATGCTGAGCTGATGGCCTGTGGAGTTGATTCACAGTCTGGCATGGCCCTAACCCTGAAGGTAGTATTTACTTTGGGGCTAGCTGTGAGGACAAGATGGCAGCAAGGGCTGGTAGGTGATTCCAGTTGTATCCCAATTTCCTGCAGCAAACCAGTCAGTGTATATAGCTAACTATTTTGTATGATAGGAAGAGCAGAAAGGCTATGGCCAAGAAGGGGAGGCGGTGGGGCGGGAAGACCAACAAATGTAGAGATCAGTCTACAAAAAGGATGTGACTGAGCTGCCAATGATACAAAGATATCTGGCTCATCATCCTCTAGTCCATAGAGATTTCTCCTGGGACCCAAATAATTCAACCCAGTCTGTGAGCCAGTCGACAAGTAGGGAATTTATGTGTGAGAATCATTTCAGCTATGTCTCACTCATCTAACTTACATACCTCATAATGAGGCATTTGTCTGGAAATATTTGTTTTCTTTGAGTTTTTGATGGAAAAGCAGGACAAAAAAAACTGCTTGGAAAACTGGATGTCAGTCTGGAAGAAATTAGAAGAGGAGTTCTTCCTGGAACTTATCAAACTAGTCTGCACCCTGCACTAAGGAAAGAACATGTGTTCTCCAGAAGCCTAAGGGAAAAGAAGACTCATGGACATGACTTCTCTTGGAAGATGCTTCCCTAGAAGCAGAGCTGTCCTGATGAGAGACACGAAAGATGAAGTGAAAGAGCAGATCGAGTCTAACCACTCCACCCTATCTCCATTTTACATATTCAAGGCATCCTTCCTTGAGTTCACAATAGCCTAGTCATATATAAATTCCCAGAGAGCTGGGCTCTTGATGGCGAGATCATGAAAGTATCATGGTATTTCCTGATACTTAATACCAGATACCAGAGGCAAGATTGTTTTAAATTCAAATAGCCACGCCCCTTGTAGAATGTGCATCAGCACTGTTTCTACAATTAAAAAAAAAGCCAGAACTTGTGAAGATTTTTAATTAATTTCTGTCAAACAGTTGAACAAAGACTTTCTTACCTGAATCTTCTAATATGAACTGCTTAAACTGAAATGTCTGATATGCCCCCCATTTTTCTTTTTCCTTTTTTTTTCATTTTAAGAAACAAAGATTTGAAAGATTATCACAGAATTTCAGTCTTTGGGAAGAAATCTAAGAGACAAGCTATTTGGTCCAACCTCTACTTGAAGAAGAATCCCTTCTATAGTATCCCTGAGAAGTGGTCATCTAGCTTTTGTTAAAAGGACAGGCTACCACCTACCAACATTGGCTGTCACTCTGGGGGAAATCAAATTGCTAGGAAGTTTTTTCCTTATATTGAATCTCCCTATGATCAATGCTTTGATTTGCTTTGGGAACATTCAATGATTTAGCTAGATTTGGGCTGTAAGGTTTTTTTGTTTGTCTGGTTTTTGGTTTGTTTGTTTGTTTAGGAGCCATGAATTTTAATCCTTTCTCTAACCCTAATTCCAAGCTACATGTTTGTCCTTAAAAAAAAAGCGTGTGTCAATTTAGATATAAAGGCTGATACTATAAGCAAACTGGGAGAGCAAGGAGTGGTTTACCTGTCAGATTTATGGAGAACAGAAGAATTTATGATCAAACAAGAGATAGAGAGCATTATGAAATTCAAAATGGATAATTTTGATTACATTAAGTTGAAAAGTTTTTCACAAAGTCATTGCAATCAAGATGAGAAGGAAGCAGAAAGCTGGGAACAATTTTTACAACCAATGTCTCTGATAAAGTCCTCATTTCTAAAATATATAGAGAACTGAGTCAAATTTATAAGAATACAAGCCATTCCCCAATTGATAAATAGTCAAAGAATATAAACAGGCAGTTTTCAGAGGAAAAAACTTAAATTATCTATAGTCACATGAAAAAATGCTCTAAATCACTATTGATTAGAGAAATGCAAATCAAAACAACTCTGAGGTACCCCATCACACCTATCAGATTGGCCAACATGATAAAATAGGAAAATGATAAATGTTGGAGAAGATGTGGGAAAATTGGAACGTTAATTGTTAATTGTTGGTGGAGTTATGAATGGATCCAACCGTTCTGGACAGTAATTTGTAATTATGCCCAAAGGGCTATAAAATTGTGCATACCCTTTGATCCAGAAATAGCATTTCTAGGGTTGTATCCCAAAGAGATCATAAAAATGGGAAGAGGACCCTACATGTACAAAAATATTTATAGCAGCTACTTCTGTGGTGGCCAAGAATTGGAAATTGAGGGGATGCCCAACAACTGGGGAATGGCTGAACAAGTTGTGGTGTGTGAATGTAATGGAATACTATTGTGCTGTAAGAAATGATGAGCAAGTAGACTTCAGAAAAACCTGGAAAGACTTGTATGGAGTGATGCCTGAGTGAAGTGAGCAGAACCAGGAGAACATTGTACACAGTAATGGCCACGTTGTGCAATGACTAACTTTGATAGAATTAGCTCGTCTTAGCACTGCAAGGATCTAAGACATCTCCAAAAGACTCATGATGGAAAATACTAACCACATTCAGATAAAGAACTTTGGAGTTTGAATGCAGATCAAAGCATACTATTTGCTCTTTTTTTTCCTTCTGTTTTGTTTTTTTCTTCTTTCTTGTGGTTATTGGTTCTAATTCTTCTTTACAACACGACTAATGTGAAAATATGTTTAAAATGATTGTACATGTATAGCCTATATCAGATTGTACGCCATCTTGGGGAGGGAGGTGTGGAAGGAGGGGGGAGAAAATTTAAAACTCAAAAGCTTATGGCAGTGATTGTTGAAAGTTAAAAATATATTAATTAACATATATTAATTAATTTTTTAAAAGTGTGCATGTGTTTGTGTGTGTATGGGCGGGGGAGGGTTGTAGAACTTTGGTTGCCGTGGTCAATTAAAGTGGTCCTTTGATGACAGACAGACATAGTTCATCATTAGACCCTTAGTAGAAGCTTTTTGGTCTTGGTATGACCTATCAGAACTTGTGCTCTGCATTGCCTCTGAGAACCAGGGCCAATTTCAGGCAATAATGAGGCACCATGGGGGGCAGCTGGGTGGTACAGTGGATAGAGCACCGGCCTTGAAGTCAGGAGGACCTGAGTTCAAACCTGGCCTGACCAAATACTTGACACTTACTAGCTGTGTGACCCTGGGCAAGTCACTTAATCCCAACTGCCTAAAAAGCAAAAAACAAAACAAAATAATGAGGCATCAGAGAAATGCTAAGGTATAGATGTACTGCGTACAACCTGTTTTAAGGCAAAAAGTAACCACATCAATGAGATCATCAATCTTTTGAAACAATTTGCTCTCTCATTTTTTCGTATCTCTAAAACTCAGAACTAGAAAAAAATACAAAAAAAAAAGTAAATTTGCAAACATCTATTTCCATCTTGTAATTTTGATACTTTGATCTTTCTCAACTTCTAGGCCTCTCTCTCCCTAACTACCTTGTATGCATTTATATTTATTTTGTATATATACATTGTATATGTGTATACATGTATCTATGTGTATATATGTATATGTATCTCTCTCTCTATTGCATCCTGGAGAGTAGTAGTTGTTTCATTTTTTTTTTATCTTTGTATTTCTAATGCCTAGCAGAGTACCTGGCTCCAAGTAGATACTTTTATCAAATTCTTGTCCCTTGATAGATTACTTCCATGGATTTATGCATGTCTTTGTAGTTTCTTTTCTCAACTTAACACACTATATAAATACCAAATAAATATTTCTTAGAAATCTCATTTCTAAGAGGAAAACAATCTTATTTTGAATGTTTCTCTTCACTTACTAGTAGCCCAGAGTAATATTCTAACTCCAACCATGAAAAAGGAGCCAAAAGAAGACCTCTTTCATTTTTTAACAAAAAGCATTTCCAACTACATTTATCGACGTACCATGTTCATGATAGTGAGGATGTAAGATTCCACACTGTCACTTCCATGGTATTCAATCATCTTTGTATCTGCTACAACCAGGGTCTCCACCCATCGTTCTTTGCTGATGGATCGCCGAGAGAGTCTTTTCTTCGGCACATTGTTTCTCTCCCACCTTTCTCGCTGTTGTTCTTGCTGCTGGAAAACTGCATGACTATCTAAACATGGAACAAAACATAAAAGATCTGATTATCTTTTGGATTCATTGTTTATTTGTGTTTGTTAAGATATAAGCATATGAGTATAATATTGTATAAAAGAAATGTTCTTATATAAATGCACATGTGGGTACACATGTGTGTATACATTGTGGATGTGTGTTTATTTCCACCTAGAAAGTAGAGAATGAATTACAGAACCAGAAGAAATACTATTACATGCTAATGAATGATACTAAGGCTCATTGAAACCTACTCTGAATTAAAATTCAAGGCCAGTGAAAGGCTGTTAGGGAAAAAGGTCGCAGTAATCAGCACTTTGAAATAGTGTTTTGCTTTTTATCATCGTGCTGACCACGGACCTGAATCTTACCTCTGCTACCAACCAGTCTTGTGACCTTGATCTGCTGTTTCCTCTACATTAAAATAAGGCTGATACTTTTCCTACCTGTAGTGCAAGACTAGCTTTCATCCTTTTCCAAAAGATAGTAAGGTGGGGGGGTGGCATTTGTTATTAAGAAGTATGTTGTGAAGAAAACTGAGCATATGAAACAGTGCACATACAGAACCAAATGTGCATGTGAACCTGAATGTCAAGGGCAGTGATGATCAGTATCAAAGGGGAAAAACGTAGTCTTCATCAAGATGGATTTTTTTTTTAAAGAAAAGGACCATAGTTTAAAAAGAAATGTTGATCATAATCTGTAAAATAAGAAAGGTATGGAGGGGTGAACATGAACTTGTTCACAAAATCCCAATGCAGCCATATTGGGAAATATTCCTTGAAGCTTAGAAAAGTGGTGATTTAGATAAAGTAAAAGCAAATATTGCTTCATATAGCAATACAAAAATACCATATTTCAAAAAGCTGAAAAGGGTGAAAATATAAACAGATTAAAAATTATCACATCAACTCATGAACATGACTTGCTAAGGAAAAATAGAGAGTCAATTTAATCAAGTTCTATAAAACTTCATCAAGCATCTCCAGTCTCACCATCCTCCCTGCCCATCACTGCACTGGGCAGAACACTGGGCTTCCAGGCCCTAGACGGTTTCGTCCTTTCATCTCTGGAGCTCTCACCATGGGACCTACTCCAAGATCAAATACAGAATCCTCTACTTGGCTTTTAAAGTTCTGTATAATCTGATCCTTTTCTAACTTCCAATGTTTTCGAACCTCACTCCCCTTCATGTACTCTTTGATCCAGTAACACTGGCATCCTCCTGGTCTCTGAATACTATACTCCATCTCCCAACTCTAAGGGTTTTCCATTGGCTATCTCCCACGCCTGGAATACTCTCCCTCCTTATCTTACTTTCCTGACTTCCCTGGATCCCCTCAAGTGCCAAAATTCCATATTGTGCAATAAGCCTTTCCTGGTGTCTTCCCTCTGAGACTACCCTCATTTTATCTTGATTATATCTTGTTTGAATGTAATTTTAAAAATTTTTTTTCCCTTTTAAAAAAAAATCCCCAGAACTTAGCACAGGGCCTTGTATATAGTTTTTGTTGGTGCTATTGTTGTTGTTGTTCAGTCATTTCAGTCACGTCTGATTGACCCCTCATGACCCCATTTGAGGTTTTCTTGGCAGAGATACTGGAGTGGTTTGACATTTCCTTCTCTGGTTTATTGGTGAGGAAACCAAGGCAAACAGGGTTAAGTGACTTACACAGCTAGTAAGTGTCAGAGGCTGGATTTGAACTGAGAAAGACGAATCTTACTGACTCAAGTCTGGCACTCTACTGCACCACCTACCCATGTCTGGTTCATATCAGGCAGCTAATAGATGCTAGCTGCCTGATTAACAAGGCCATCTATTTACTATCTGTTCTGCCTAAGTAATAACCAATAACTAAGTAACCGATAGCATCCCACCCCTTATTCCTCTGGAAGCCATAATCAAGTCACTGTTGCTATTGCTACTAAGGTGGGCATGTTGGTCAACTCTCTATGGCTTCCAATCACCATCCTTGGGATTTCACAGATAGTGCCCGTGGTAGAATATTCTGAGCTCACATTAGTCTGACCAGCCACAGTCAGACACGCTGAATTTGACTCTAGCATAGTGATGCCATTCTGGTCCTCTTCAAGAACAAAGGACAACAATCAACCAACCAACCAATGATTTCACAAACCAGGAGTCCTCCCTGGTCAACACTCCCCTACGTGAGTTATTGTCCCCATTAGAATATAAGTTCCTTGTGGTCATGAACTGGCTTATTTTTTTATTAGTATCTCCATGGCTTAGCATGATTCTTGACACAGACTAATAATTTTTTTTTCATTTGATCATTCACTGTTATAGGTACTGCAGAAAGAGAGATTAAAAATAAAACAGCCCCTGCCCTCAAGGAGCTTACTGCAGGAGGATATAATATATACACAGAAAAGAACATGGTGGTGAGTGAATGAGAAAAAATGAAATAATTAGAGTTCATGGAAGAGGAAAAGAGCATTAATAGATGGGGAATGAGAGGAGCTTCAGAGAGGAAGTGGTAACTGAGCTAAGTCTTGAAGAAAGACTAAGAACCTGAAAGATAGAGAGAACAGATAGCATTCTAAGTCTGAGGTGCGGCTTGGGTGGGGACAAGAGATAGATTGCCCAATCTGGAAAGCAGCTAATAATTCATCTTGATTCCATGTAGAGGAATAATGTGAAATAAGTCTGTAGTGCTAGGTTGGGACTGGATAGTTGAAGGCTTTAAATTTCAGGCCCAGGAGTTTGCCTTTTATCCTAGAGTGGATAGAGAGTCATTAAAAGTTTAATTTAAATTTAAATTAATTTAAATAAGGATTTAAATGATGAGACATGTATATTTGCATGATTATCTTTGGTAGCTCCATGAAGAGTCAACTGGAATAGAGATAGAATAAAGGGAGAGAGACAATAATGATATGGTTAATGTGATAGCATAATGAAGTGATGAGAGAGGGATTGCCTATGAGAGTGAAAAAAGAGGGTGGTTATGAGAGATTCTGACAAGGGAGAAACAACAAGACATAATAATTAGAAAGTTGTGAGGAGTGAGGGAGACTGAGGAGGTGAGGGTGATTCTGAGGCCTGAGAAACAGTGACTTTTGGAGGTGGAATGAACAGTCAAGAAAAATAATGCCAATTTATGAGGAAATAGCAGAAAAAAAGAAAAAAAAAGATCAGCATGGCTCCTCTGCCAACTCTTGTACTGTCCATTATAAATCCTGAAAAACCATTTCATTTCCAAGGGAAGAAAGTTGGTTGAATCTGACTATCAGAAATTAAGTTGAAAAAATCTCTAGCAAGGGCTGCTATCTATTTGACTTCAGGATTTAGTACTGGAAGAATCATAGAATTGAAAGAGACAGAATAATGCAACCATCCCATTTTCTTTTTCCTGGGAGGTCTTCACTAAAGCTATGCCTCAGTATTTCAAAGACTCCAGATTTCATCAACGTATGGGCATTTTCAGTACAAATCACAACCTCTCGTGGCCTTAGGCAGGCTCCCCGAGTTGTGCAGGGGGAAAAATGGATAAGAAAGAGGGGGGAATGATCTTGTGGCTAGCCTATGCTTTAATTGCTTTAATATTAAAAGTCAAGTGAAAAAGCATTTACTGAGTGCCTATTGTATGCCTAGCAATGAAGAGGATAGGCACTGAAAGGGATATAGAAGAAGCAGAAAATAAAAATTCTCCCTTTAAGGGGTTATAATTCAACCGTAAATATAAATCAATATTCTAACTTACGTGTTTTTTTTAATTCAGAAAACACATTCCCCAACTCTTAATCGATAAACATTTTTTAAGTGCCTACTATGTGTTAGGCACTGGGGGTCAGGAATACAAAAGCAAAGCAGTCCCTGCCTTTAAGGAGCCTTACATTCAGGGGAGATAATAGGCACATTTTTGCCAAGAAGATGCTCCTTTCCCAAAAGGTATCTCCTATAGATCTAGTTCAGTCCTCTGAGAGCCTGACCCTAATGAGAAAAGATTCAGGCCTTTTCTCATACTCTCTGATTTATTATACCCTCATTCCAGGGCAAAATCTCTTAAAGCTTAGTTTTGTTCCTAAGTAAAGTCTCCCCCAAAAGAGACTGACAAGATTTTTTCTAAAGAAGTTGATCAATGAACAAAATAGTAGTTACCAAGGGCAGAACAGCTATTCATTTTCACAAAAGAATTGCTTAAAAAGCAAAAGACTCATATGAGTGCATTCAAGGTCCTCTTGCCACCTGGCACCACACTCCCTCGCCAATGTTTTCTTCTATTACTTCTCTTCATGTCTTCGATGCTTCAGCCAAACTAGACTCCTAGATCATTTGCAAACAAGTCCCACATTTTCTCAGTACTGTGTCTTTGCTTACATAGAATATTCTCCCTCTCTCTTTTCACCTAATAAATTCTCATGCTCATTCATCCTATAGAACATACTTCAAAAGCCACTTCCTCAAGGCCTCCCCTGACACTATCACCCCACATCCAACTACCACTCCACCTCTACATAACGACTTTTTCTCAGTTCCTTATGAACGGCCTCTCTTCAATTCCTAATGGTTACCCCAAGGCTATCCTCTAACTAGAGCATGCCTGGAATACTCTCCCTTTTCAGCACAGTCTCCCAGCTTCCCAGGCTTCTTTCAAGACCCAGATAAAATCTCACTTTTTTTAACAGGAAGTCTTTCTCCATCCCCTTTACTTCTAGGGCCTTTCCTTGGTTGGTTATTTCAAATTTATCTTGACTTTAGCTTGTTTATACCTAGTTGTTTGCATGTCATCTCCCCACTAGACTCTGCGTTCCTTGAGAACAGACTGTTTCTTGTCTTTACATCTACAAGACTTAGCACAGTGCCTAGCACATAGCAGGCACTTAATAAACGTTTGTTGACTGATTTCATTTCTTCTACTACCTTGCTTGTATTCTATACTTCAGAGAGACAAGACTGCTTGCAGGATTTGTGCTACAGGATGAGTGTGTCTGCCACTTACAAGCCTTTATATATACCATTTCTTCTCAGTCATA